TCTAGTACAAATTAGGCTTTAAAAATAATGAAGAAGTCTTACAGGTGAAGGTGTTAAGGTTTCTCCCTTTAGCTTCCATATGGGACGGACATCAGGCTCAGAAATTTCAACTTCAAAACGTGCTGTTTCACCAACAAACACTTCGACTCCATACAATGGGCGCTCCACCTTAATTAAGCGAGCTAAAACAAAAAAAAATCAGATTTACTGATAAGTATATATCAGATTTACAGACTCATTTTATATCCTAGAAACATAACAGTGTCACATATCAAAACTTTCTCTTCCTTTTCTCCCTTTTCAGTTCCTTTCATTAGCCAAGGCAGGACCACTTACGCTCAACAGTGATGTTAGCACTGGTCTTGTCAGTTCCACAGTCACAATGATAAACACCCTTATCAGTATCTGCAGCCTTCTTGACCTTTAAGATACGGCGCAAGCCATCTGTTTTTATGGAAATTCTGTTGGAAGCGACCAGTTCTTCACCATCTTTGTACCATTTTACTGGCACATCTTTGCTAAGTTCACACTCCATAACAACATCGTCTTTCTCCAGAGCACTGTAGTCATGCAATTTCACAGTGAAATATGGATCAGCTTCTACAAAAGCATATTGGATATGAATCAGTAAATTAGTAATATAAATTTACTAAAATATCAATATTTGGTCACTTTATACTTTTAAAAATTGCTTATACAAATTACATGGCATATTTTATATGTTGTATTTATAATTACCTAAGACTTTGAGGTTTGCTTGAGTATTCAAGTCCTTGACTACCGCCTTTATCTCAGAGATATCATCAAGCGTCACTTCTCTCATTTCTAGTTTATGAACTTTGCCTTCTGAAGTGATAAGAACTGTTCTGCTTGTGTGGAGTCTCTTATCATTTTTATACCATTTCACTACCATATCTTCATGAGAAAGCTCAAACTGAAAGTGAGCTGTTTCTCCTTCTTTCACTGTTTGATCTTGGAGTGGTGAGATAAATTTCAGCCTCACACCTACAATGGAAAAAGAATTGATATGTAAGTACCATCAGAAAGAGACCAGTGTGGTTCTAAGAGATGCATTCTTTATTTATGAGGTACTTGCCTTCCACAAACAGTCTTGCTGTGCTCTTCTTGCCTTCAACTTCAGCAGTGTATTCTCCTTCATCATCAAACTGAGAATCATTGATTACAAGAATATGTTTCTTTCCATCTGCAATGATGTCAAATTTTTCTCCGATCTTGAGTATATCTGTGCCCTTAGACCATATAACATTGGCTTCTCTGGTAAGGACACATTCAAATCTTGCTTGGCGCTTCTCAGGAACAGTGACATCTTTCAGAGGCACAGCAAAGTCAAGCTCAATTTCTAGAAGCAAACCAGAATACACCATTTGTAAAATGTGCTGTGTGGACTCTGGCTAACAGTGTACTGTACTCTGCTTTGTAGTGTATCATACCTTTCACTGTCAGGATAGCTGTAGTGACTGCATTAAGTGCCTGGTAAAGGACTTCACCAGCTTGGTCTAACTTGACTTTATGTAAGGTTAGGAAGCGTTTTCCTCCTTCTGCCTTGATTTCACATGTCTGGAGAAATGACAGACTTTGGTAAGTAGAGCGCACATTGCCTACTACTAGACTATTTTATTAAAGGAATTCTACAGACATTATTTTATATACAGTGGACAGTCAGACAGAAATACTAGAATTACTTCTCAATTAAAAAACACGCCATTTTTTATTCAAAAATAATAAAAATACAGTATATTTCTTCACCTTTCCACAGCTTTTCTAACGCCTGTATCATTTTTAGCAATGTATATAGGATATTTTAATACGCTGTAAGTCTGTGAGATAATGAAACACTTCAAAAGTTAACTTTTAAGTCATACAACTCCTAATAAGAGAATCACATTTTTTAATCACCATAATGTTTATTATGGTGATTCTTGTCTGAGTGACAACTATAGTCCTGCAAGAATCTTTCAGTACAGTTACCACAAAGACCCAAGTAAACCTCTTCACAATCTTCTAATTTTAAATAAATTGTGCTGTTAAATTCAAGGCTGCTTACAGGTGAGGGTCTCAGGACTTCTCCTTTTAGCTTCCATTCTCCAGGAATATCTTCCTCAGATATTTCTGCATCAAAGTTTGCTGTTTCCTTCTCGTAAACTGTAACATCTTCTAATGGTTTAAGCAGAGCAACTTCACGTTCTAGAAAGCACATATTATGGAATTAGGTCAAGTTTTTATATAACCCTGATATTAATTCAAGTTATAGTTCATTTGGTTGTTTTTTTGTTTGTTTGTTTGTCTGTTCAGAAGTTTTAGAACATCGGCATATGAGATGATTAAGTGTAATGCAAACAAAAGCTTCCTTACCACCAAGGGTCAGTTTAGCTGGGTATCTACGACCTTCAACTTCCACAGAATATTCTCCAATATCAGCTGGGCCAGCGTTCTTAATTTTCAGGAAAATTTTATTTCCTTCTTTCAAGATTTCTGTCTTGTCAG